TTATGTACTTTAATAGGCTTTTGCAAAGACAATTCTCACTTATAGCTGCCCACCACTGTGTCCGCATACCTGATATGCCGCGTCCCACAGTGTCCGTTATCCGGCATAGTAGGATTGCCTACCTAGATGACTAAGTTAAACGTGAATCTATTTCCACTGGACTTTACTGACTTGCTAGATATTGAAATAAATCTTTGATATTTACGATTTTTGACTTTCATAAAAGCACAAGACTGGACCGTCTAAACCAGCGGTTCTCAAACTTTTTTGTTCGCGGAGCCCTTATATTCCTAAAAAAAATTACGGAGCCCCAAAAATCAGAAATGTCTATATGAGACAACTAAAATTCATAAAAAAAATGATGCCAATTGTAAATGATTTGCTTTTTATTTTTATTTTCTGTAAAATACGAATATATACAAATTATTCAATTAATATTAATTTAATTAGAAAAAAATAACATACAATTTTAGCAATTTATTTATTTATTAATGTGATCCGTGATGTTGGCTTTTTTTATTGACCAGTATTTTTATATTTGGCTTGATAGGCGAGAGTTGAATACGCATATCTGCTTCAGCATCCAATTTATTACGATATTTGGTTTTCATTGATGCATATGATGAAAATCCGGTTTCACATAGATATGTTGTTGCGAAAGGAAGAAGTGCTAAGATAGCTTTTTTAGCCAGAGATTGATATTCGTTAGTAATACTGCTACTGCATCAAAAATCTGTTAATGATATTTTATCAAATAAAGTTTTTAAAGATGAATCGGTGGTCATTTCAATAAATTCTTCATACTCCGTTATAGATAAATCTTCGGGCTTATCGTTGATTAAAAACGGATTTTTAACCCAATTATATCGTTGGATAAATTCTATGTCTTTACTTTCTGGAAAATATTTTTCTAATGACGATAGTATTTCATTTAAATGTTGTTCAATTTCGCCATATATTTCATCAAAATCTTCAATATTACCATCAATCGATTCTAAATGTTCCTTTAACAAAGGAAAACTATCAATTTTATGTTGAGAAAAACACACAGCCCAAAATTTAATTTTTTTTTTTAAAGCTCGAATTTTGTCATTTGCCGTGAAAACGGTGGTCATTTTACCTAGTATTGATAAGTTCACTTTATTCAATTTTGTAAAAATATCAGCCAAGTGACTAAGTCGAAATAACCAAATTTTATCACTAATTCTGAGCTGTAAATTAAATGGGTGATCGGTGAAAAAAACGTACAATTCATTGCGCAATTCGAGTAAGCGTACAAGTGTTTTTCCCCGAGAAAGCCATCTTACTTCGGTATGGTAAAGTAGTGATTTGTGCATACTTCCCATATCTTCACACAAAATTGTGAACAGTCTTGTGCTCAATGGTCGAGATTTTACGAAATTTATAATCTTCACTGCCTCATCAAGTACATTTTTAAGAGGTATTGGCATCTTTTTAATAGCAAGTGCTTGACGATGAAGAATGCAATGACTATTACTACAATTGTTGGTTACTTCTTTAATTCGCGAAACCACGCCAGCAGTTTTTCCAACCATTGCCTTCGCTCCATCTGTACAAATATCAATACAATTATCCCAAGTCAATCCTTCTATTTCAAAAAAATTGTTCAACATATTGAAGATTTCATAACCAGTTGTATAAGTGGACAAAGGTTGACATAATAAGAGGTCTTCTTCAAGAGAAGTTTGATATTTATACCTAACGAATACAAGCAATACAGCTAATCCAGAAACGTCAGTGGATTCGTCCATTTGTAAAGCAAAATTATTACATTTAAGACGAGATATTAATTCCGATTTTATGTGAGTTGATATATCGTTAATTCTACGCCTAACGGTATCGTTGGAAAGCGGAATAGTATTTATTTTTTTGACTGCCTTTTCATCTAACATACAACTAACAATATCTGTCACGCAAGGTTTGATTAGACTTTCGGCAATTGTATGAGCTTTACCAGCCTGAGCTATACGATAACTGACCTTATAAGATGCCTCTGTTGCTTTTTCATTTTCCGTTTTTGTTACTTCAGCTATAAAGTTCTTATTCTTTAAAAGTTGATCACGCAATCGAATAAAATAATCAACAGGTTTATCTTTGACGTTTGTATGGTTAGTTTCCAAATGACGGCGCAATTTGGCTGGCATTTTTGAACTATTCGGAAAAACTTTACTACATACAACGCACTGTGGATAACTATTTTCATGTATGAAACCAAAAGAGATATAATTTTCGTCATATTTTCTTCTTTTACTTACTGTAGTGGCAGATGTCCCTGTATCAGATTGTTTGTTAGGTGGACTATTTGCTCTTTTTAAACTCGCACTATTATTCGGTGTGACACATTTATTTTCATTTGCATCTGATGAGGATGATCCCACTGTATTTCTTGATTTGTTAAGCCAACGATCCATTTAAATTTTTATTCACAAAAAAAAATTGTCAACAATAAAAACAATTGATGGTAAAATAGGAAACACGTAATACGAAATAAACACCGAAATAACAATATTTGCGTCAGCGGCCGATGAATAACGAGTAATGACTGAAGAATCAAGAAATTATTAGAACTTCGTAGAATTTAGATTGTGCTATTTTAGATAAGTAAACTAAATAATTATCGTACCATTTGTCAAATGAACGAAAAACCCGACTTTTATCTAATCTCATTTTGACAATGACACAAAATATGACATATGTGGATTTATAAATACCTATTTTAAAGTTTTAAATGTTTAAATGTTTAATATAATACATATTGGTACGGTCCAAATAGTATTGATTATAAAAATAAAAATTTAACTAAGAAATATAATAATAATTTAATAATTTAAATTTAATTAATACAGATATTCTCAGGGAGCCACGGAGCCCCTAGACTAATCTCGCGGAGCCCTAGGGCTCCGCGGAGCACAGTTTGAGAACCGCTGGTCTAAACTATCAAGTCCTGATATCGGTATTCACCTTCAGCGAATAGTACAGGGCCTTCATTACTGACGGAGCGAGTTACACCGAGAGACCAATGCAGGCAGGCCCATATCGTCGGCTATGCGACGCAGTCGGATGGCTTACTTAGATGTCTGAATTTTATTTTAATCGATATTCACCTTGACGTGACTGACTTGCTAGACACAC